GTGTGTGCATGTGGAGGCTGGAGGACATCCTCATGTGTCATTCTCACTGGCTGGAATCTACCAAGTAGGTCAAGCAAGGCCAGGGATCCATCAGTCTTTGCCTCTCCGGCACTGGGATTACAAGCATGTGCCGCTACACCCAGCCTTTTTATGTGGGTTCTGAGGGCGTTGAACTCAGGTCCTCATACTCCCAAGGCAATCTCTTGATCAACTGAGCTCTTTCTCCTGCCCCGGGGCTTCTGTCTGTTACCTGCCCAGCCAGCAACGTCGTCCCTAGCTTTCCTTCCTCGGTCTCATGAGGTCAGACCCTCCCTTCAGACCCAGCATTCTAGGAACCCAGCTCTTTTTTCCTGGGCCCCCTAGGCTTTGGGCTGTGGGCCCTCCGTGTGGAATCAGGACAGTAGTCTCCAAGCCCGCCTTACTGAATCCCCACCTGAAGGCGCCAGGTGGAGGCTGGCGCTCCGTCTCGGGTCGCGTCCAGGGGGGGCATGCTCATGGTCCTGGGTGCCCAAGATATGGTAGGCTCATGAAGCAGGTTGATGAGGCGAAGCCAGCGGTCAAACAAGAAGCCCAGCTCATGGTCAGGGGCATCCAGTTCCAGGTAGTAGTAGCGGCCGGTGATCAGCCGCAGCTTCAGGCGCCAGGTGGGCAGATCGTGGACATAGAGGTGGGCAAGGTCTAGAGGGATCATCCTGCGGGAGGTGGGAGACCTCCCGGGTAGCTAATGCCGCAGGGAAGATGGAGCGGAGCGAGCTGGGGTCAGAGCCCGAGAAACGAGGAGGAATGTACCTGGTCAGGTTGAGATTGGAGCAATCCCTGTCCTCCGGGGGCCGAGCCAGCAACAGAATGTCGGGCAGCACTAGCCCGGGCAAGGACGCCGCTACACCCATAGTCAGCTTGTTGGTTTTGTGGTGCACTAAGGCGGGAGCCCCGTGATTGGTCACCTGGGGCAGCCAGGGAGCAGGGCTGGGATCAGTCCTTTCTCCAACATGCCTCCAGCATCCCCTCCCCTGAGAGCCTTCTTTCTTTCTTTCCAAACCCACTTCCTACCTACAGAAGTTCAAGTTCCAAATCCCAGCTCAACCCACTCAGTCCTGGAGGGCAGGGGGAGTCCCTCTCTTCCTGCGTCTCCGCCCTCCTCCCCCATTCCCCCGGGGCACAGGGAGCTGGGGACCTGGACAAAGTTACTCTCGAACATGGGCAGCGGGCGGAGGGGCAGGTACTCGCCCTTCTGGAGGGTCTTCTGCAGCTCCCCAAGGATGGGGACCCACTTCTGGGGTTCCTGCGGAGCCTGAGTACGCCGGATTTTAAACAGTCGTTTCATCGTGGTTGTCAGAGCAGCGGGTGGGGCTGAACAGATTCAGGGGTCCGGGACCCAGGTGGAGCCCTGACCCCCACCCCAGCCCACCAGCCTCGGACCCTTGGGCTTCAAAGATGTCAGGAGCTCAGCAGTGACAGAAAGTGGAGTGTCCCCAGGGCTGAGAGACTCTGGTATGGCCATGGCCCTGCAGAGAGGTAGTCAGCTCTAGGCCGTGGGAGGAGCCTTTGGTAGGGGCTTTGTGACCTCACTGGACACCAAGGGCCTGCTTCCTGGGAACTCTCCAGAGGCCTCATCCTTCTGGAACATGGCCTGGAGTCTTGAGAGCTGGGATCGGTGACTCAGAGCTCCATCAGAACACCCCCTCTCCTGGACCCAAAATTGTGACACGGACCCCACCCCCCATAGGGGTCTGTGTTAGTATATACGGACACATTAACCCAAAGACTTAAGTCACAAGCCAAGCTCTGCTCCTGATGCTCAACAAGGCCATGCTAAGCCTCAGTTTCTCAATGGGGTGTGTGTGTGTGTGTGTGTGTGTGTGTGTGTGTGTGTGTGTGTGTGTGTGACTTTCACTGAACACTGGATTGTAAAGGGCCATCATAGCTGAGTATGGGGACTACAAACTGTCTTCCCAGCACTAGGGATACAGAGGCAGGAAGACTAAGTTTGAGGCCACAAAACCCCGACTCAAAATAAATAAATACATAAATACATGATGGATAATGGAAGTAGAACCAGGGCTTGGGGATGTAGTTAAGTGGTAAGGAGATTGCCTGGCATGCACAAGGCCCTGAGTTCAATCCCAGCACCATAACGACGTAAGGCTAACTCCCTGTGTGACCATAACAGCAATAAGCTGGGCATGGTGACATACATCTTCCGTCCCAGCACTCAGGAGGCAGAGGCAGGCAGATCTCTGTGAGGTCCAGGCCAGCCAGAGCCTCATGGTAAAATTCAGAACAAACAAAAAGACCTCTACAGAAATCAACTCCTCTCATTTGAGCCTCAATTTACCTCTTTTATAAAATAAGTCATGTTTTGAGGATCTGGGACAATTGTTTTTGAGACAGCGAATGTCTGTGTAGCTTTGGTGGCTGTCCTGGATCTCGCTCTGTAGATCGGGCTGGCCTTGAACTCACAGAGATTCACCTGCCTCTGCCTCCTGAGTGCTGGGATTAAAGGCTTGTGCCACCACTGCCTGGCTGAGACAATTGTTTTAAAAAAAAAAAAAAAAAAAAAAATTCAGGCTCAGCATAGCCCAGATCCTGGGCTCCAATCACCATGTTTCTTGCTTCCTTCTGAGGCCTTTTTTTCTTGTGGCGTGTGTACGGTGGGGTGAGACAGAGACTGATATTCTGTCATTCTAAAAATAGTGTTTATTGTTGTCTTTAAATGTGTCATGCAAAATACAGTCATGGTAAAAACTCTGGAAAATACAAGCGCGCACACACACACACACAAAGTCACCCCACAGCCCCAACTCATGTTTTCAGCCCTGAGACAGTCATTGTCCACATTTTGGTGTTTCCATTTTGAAAAAAAAAAATCCATACTTAGGTATCGAAAGAGTGGTTTCTACCATCTGCTGCTCTCACGGTGCAGGGCCGTTCAACGTCATCAGCAGCCTTTGCCTGGATTGTTTAGACCGGCTGGTTAGGATTCCATCACACGGATGTCTCCCTTTTTATTCATCCAGCTCCCACTGGCGAACCCAGCATGAATGTCGCCGAAAGGAACAACCTTGAGGGCTTTGCAGCTCTGTACCACGCAGGGGCTTTTAGTTCTAAGGCGATGTTCTGGAACCTTCTGTTAAGTATCTGCTGAGGAGCTCTGGAGTGCTGGGCACCAGGTCAGACTCAGACCATTTAGGCATCCCTCTGCTATTCACCTCCAAGTGGATATGTATTTAAATCACCCCCTTTTCTGTCTCACAAAAACGCCTCACATTTCGGTATAAAACCCCTTAACATAAAAAGTAATTGTTTAATAAATAATGGAGGAAGCGAGGAAGACACTGTGGATAGATTTCATAGAGACCCCAGAATCCAGGATTTCAGTTCCCTGTTCTTCGAGGTCTCAGATCCACCTGTCCCCACCCACCCCCAATTCCTTAAATAAATAAGTATAAATAAGCCACACAGGTGACCCCACCCCCACCCAGGTCTCCTGGAGGAAGTGTATCTAGCTGGGTGTCGGTTGTGTGGGGTGTGGCATGCCCCTGATCATCATGCGCCCCGCCCCCCCCAGTACCAAAATAAATAAATAAATAAGATGTGGCTTTGAACGATGATGTCGGTGGTGGCTTTCAGTCCTCGTCACAGCCGAGTCTTTAACAGCAGCAGACCCCGCACAGCCCAGTCCAAGGTCAGGTGCAGCCCGCCTAAGATGGCGTGGGCAGCCCGGACGCTTCCCCAGGCGGAGGCAGGGGGGCCCAAGGGGACTGTGGGTTGGTCTGGGGTTGTCTGGGGCAAAGCCAGGCGAGACGTCTGTTAAAGAGGGAAACAAAATTAGCAAAAGGCAAGGGGGTCCCGTCTAGGATCTCCTCAGGGTCTGGGGTTTCCGAAAACTGAAGCTGGGTTGGACGCGGTGGTTCACATCTGTAATCCCAGCTCTGCAGAGGTGGAGGTAGAAGGATCAGGAGTTCAAGGCTTCATAGGAAAGGCAATTTGGGCTACAAGAAACCTTGCTCATAGCTAGGTGGTGGTGGTGCATGCTTTTACTCCTAACACTTGGGAGGCAGAGCCAGGTGGATCTCTGTGACTTGGAGGCCAGCCTGGTCTATAGAGTGAGTTCCAGGACAGGTTCCAAAGCTACAGAGAGAAACCCTGTCTCGAAAAACCAAAAAGAAAAAGAAAGAAAGAGGGAAAGAAAGCTTGGAGTCTAGGGACCATGTCTAGAGCCTGGGGCTAGGAGCAAGAATTTGAGATTTGAATTTGAGATTTGAAGGTCTTTGCAGTCAGGGACCAGAGTTTGAAGTCTTTTGGAGTATTGGGCCTGAGGTTGTAAATTTTGGAGTCTTGATATTTTTCAACCTCATGAGATTGGAAATGAGACATGGGACTGGGGTATTTACTTAGTGTGAGACAAGATCTCACAGAGCCCAGACTGGCCCCAACCTCACTATGCAGCTGAGGATGACCTTGAACTCGTCACCCTTCTGTTACCACCTCCCAAATACTGGGACTACAGTCAGGATCTAGTCATTGCTAGCCTGGAATTCACTAAGTAGACCAGGCTGGCCTGAAACTTGTAGCAGTCGTCCACCTCTGCCTCTTGAGTGCTCAAACTATAGGCCACCAAGCTCAGCTAGGGTCTGTACTTGAGGTCTGGCTTTACAGAGTGAGTTTCAAGGCTAGATGAGTCAGGATCTTGAATCTTAGGAGCCGGGGCTGGGTCCTTGAGATACGAGGCTCTCAGGGCTGGGATCTGGGGCGTTTAGGCATCTTAGGGCCTAGGCCTCTAATTCTCATGGGAAGATTTGGATCCGGAGGACTCAGGGTAGGTTTCTTGGGTCTCAAGTCTTGGGATTCAGGGTCTAGACTTTCAGACAGGTTGTCAGTATTGGTGGGGTGAGTGTGTGTGTGTGTGTGTGTGTGTGTGTGTGTGTGTGTGTGTCTCATAGTATTATGGGCTGGGGTTTAGAGGACACAAGATCATGAACCGATAGCTTGGAGCCTTGGAGGTCAGTTAAGAGTTGCTCTGAAGAATTCTGGGGTGTTGAGGTCATGAGACCTCAAGGTCTCATGGTTATAGGATCGTGGATGTCTCATTTGCAGGCATCAGATCTGGGGGGTGCGGGGGCACTGGGTGTTCAAAGTCTGTCTGGGATCCTGAGAATCAAAATCTCAGACCACTGTTTCTTGGGGGTCAAACGTTTCAGAACGGAGGTAAAGGGTCTTGGAGTCAAAGCATACATACCAAGAGCTGTAGACGACGGAGCAGCCGCTCCAGCCTGGCTTGCAGGGCACCCAGCTCTGGCTCCAGAGTCTTTAGGGAAGGGCCACCTGCCCGGCGCAGCCACTGTACATGCCGGAGGTAGGACATCAGATCTACTCGAAGCCTTGTCAGCACCCCTGGAAGCTGAGGACCAGGGGTGGAAATCAGGGCACAGTTCGCACACATACCCCTTGGCCACCAATCTTTCAGTCCTCCCCACCAGCCAGCTCTCACCTGCAAAGATCCCAATGTCCCAGCGCTCATGGCCAAGGTAGGTAGGGAGTCCAGATTGTGGTCTCCGTCTGCTGGGAATTTGTCTCTCTGGTGAAAAAAGAAGCTGTTGAGGGGGACCCCAAGCCTTCCTGGTCTTCGGGTGCCCAAGAGAAGAAAGTGACTGTCATCCTATACAGCCCCGGCCCTGGCCCTTCAGTCACCTACCATCTGCGCCGCCAGTTGCCGAGTGTCTGCCAGGAGGGATCGGGTCAGGAGGACAGCGCTGTCCAGATCTGCTCGAGGATCTGGAGAGACTCGTGGGGAGCCAGATGGTGGCCCAGGGGCAACGGCTCTATCTGGCCAGAGGCTCAGCACCACCAGGACCAGGTGACAAACACCTGGAAACAGAAGGCGGGAGAAATCAGGCCAAACTCTGGGTCTGAGGGAGTGGGACTGGGCTCTAGATTCCTGTCTCTGAGGAAGACGAGCCAGAGTACAGGACCTGCCTGGGTCTGAGTGAAGCAGGCTGGCCTCCAGAATTTGGGTTTTGAAAGAGTAAGACCGAGGTCTGGACTTTACAGTCTGTAAGAAGGAGGGATGGAGCCTGGATTCTGGGTCTGAGGGAGACAGGCTGGGGCCCAGAACCCTGAGTCTAAACGAGGAGGTGTGGGGTCTGGACTCTAAGGTCTGAAGGAGGAGGGCTGGAGCCTGGACTCCAGGTTCTGAGGGAGGAGAGCTGAGGTTTGGACTCCCGGGTCTGAGGGAGGAGGGCTGGAGCCTGAACGCCTGGATCTGAGGGAGGAGGACCTGGAGGTCTTGAGTCTCAGGGTGGGGCGCCCCGGGGCAGGTCGCAAAGCCCGAGCCCGGGCGGGCTTCCCTCTCCCTCCCTGGCTCTGGCTGCCCCGCCCGTCGGAGCAGACGCGGCCCGGGGCGGGTAGACGGGCCGGGCGTCTCCCGTCCGCCCCCGGACGCCGGAATCTGGGCCCCGGGGCGGGGCATGAGGGGGGAGGCACAGGCCAGAACCTGCCCCCTCCCCTGCCCAGGGAGCCTGAGCCGGCCTGGGAACAGGGGGGTTGGGGGGGGGGGAAGGAGCCAGAGACTGGAGCTGACACCCGA